AGATAATAGGCACACGGGCAGTAAGTTGCCGACGCCCAGATGGGTCGGAGCTCGTCAGCTGGTTCTCGCCTGTGATGCCAGTAGTAGTGTCGGGGCCTCCGAACATCGCCGACCTGTGCCAGTGCTCCGCGTGAGGGGACGTTGCCGAACTCTGTCAGTGACTCGAGAGTGACTCTTTGAAAGTTGTGAGGATTTCGCCCCTGATGCCGCGCGGTGTGTGAGTGCCGTCGGTGAGCAGGAAGGAAGGAAGGAAGGATGGCCAGCGACTCCGACCTCCAGCTGGGGGGCAGCGGGGGCCTGGAAGGGGTGGCGCACCCCGGCCTCTACCGCGAGGCTCCGAGGCTGTTCGAACCGCACCCGCGCCTTTACGACCCGCGGCCGCAGGTCGACCGCACCTCCTTCGAACAGACGGAAGCAGGCAAGTTCCTCGCCGACAGGATTTTTCTGGAGAAGACCGTGTCCGAGCGGGCGTTCCCCGAGCGGGCGCCCATAGAGCGACACACGTCAGAGCGGCCGTACCCCGAGCGGCCCTACCTGGAACGGAGCTTCCTGGAGCGGCTGGGGCTGGAGCGCCCGCTGCCCGAGAGAGCGATGGGCCTCGAGCGGCACTCCGAGGGGCGCGAGCTGCCCGGCGGAGGCCTGGATCGCTCCGTCCTCGAGCGCTCGCTCATGGAACGCTCGGCCCTGGAGCGGCACGTGCACGAGCGCGCGCAGGCGGCGAGGGCCTTCTTCGACAGACACGTCCAGCAGCAGCAGCAGCAGCACTTCGGGCGGGCGTCGCAGTTCTCGCCCTTCCTCTCGCCCTCGTCCCTGGCCTCCTCGCCGCCGCCCCACGCCGCGCCCGCCGTCCTGCCGCAGGAGGGCGCCTCGGGGCTCCTGGAGGACGAGGCCCGAGTGCAGGAGATGGTGGTGGAGGAGGCCGGCGAAGACGCTGAGACTCGCCATCAGGAGGACGACGCCGTGGAGCCCTCGTGCGACGGCGACGCGGCGGAGAGGGCCGGGCTGGGCGGCGAGCTGGCGACGGAGGACACGCCCCTGGACTCGAAGGAACACATCAGCCTGGAGCCGACGGAGGAGGCGACCCACATGGCCAACGACAGATCGCCTCCGCCGCCGCCCTCGTCGCCGGAGGAGGCCAAAATGGGCGGCGAGGGCGGGGAGGAGGACAAGCAGGGCGGCCTCGTCAAGCCCCCGTACTCGTACATCGCGCTCATCACCATGGCCATCCTGCAGGCGCCGAAGAAGCGCGTGACGCTCAGCGAGATCTGCGAGTTCATCATCAATCGGTTCCCGTACTACAAGGCCAAGTTCCCCGCGTGGCAGAACTCGATCCGCCACAACCTGTCGCTCAACGACTGCTTCGTCAAGGTGCCCCGCGAGCCCGGCAACCCCGGCAAGGGCAACTACTGGACGCTCGACCCCGGCGCCATCGACATGTTCGACAACGGCTCCTTCCTGCGGCGCCGCAAGCGCTACAAGCGGCAGCCGGCGCCGGACTTCTTCAGCGACCCGCACGTGTTCTCGCTCTTCACCTCGGGCGTGCTCGACCCCTTCCAGCAGCAGCAGCTCCAGCAGGCGGCGGCGCTGCTGGGGCCGCACCACCCCATCCTGCAGCGGCCGCCGCTCTCGCACACGCTGCTGCCGCCCCTCCGTACCTGCCCCACCTGGGGGGCCTCCCCCTGGGCCTGCCGCACCTGGAGCTGGCCCGTCAGGTGCGCCCCATCCTCCCGCTGCAGGGCGGCAACACCCTGCTGCACCCGACGCCCGTCAAGCCCCTGGCGCTGCCCGCCGGCCTGGCGCCCCACGGCGTGCAGGCGGCCCTCAAGGCGCCGTGCGGGCCGCCGCCCCCGCAGCCCCCGTCGCCGCCCGTCGCCGTCCGCGCTGACGCAGCCGGCGGCGCCCCGCACGCACAAGCCCTTCACCATCGACTCGCTGATCGGCCGCGACGACGCGGGGCGCAGGAGAAGGCGCGGAGTCGCCGCGCTCGGTGAGCCCCCCCCTCCCGTCCCCGCACGGCCTGGCGGGGCTGCCCCCCCCCCCTGCACAGCTTCGGCCGCGCCCCCGCGTCGCCGTTCCACGTCCCCGCCTCGTCGCTGCCCTCCTCGTCGCCCTCCCTGCCCGCCTACCCCTCCGTCGGCATCAGCGACGCCGACCACCGGCCCTTCCTGCACGCGGCGCTCCTCCACACCATGGCGCAGTGAGCCCCGCCGCCGCCGCCGCCTTCAGGAACCCCTCGCCGCGCCTTCCAGCCGCCCGCCCGCTCGCACGCCCGCACGCTCGGCCAGAAAAGAAACCAATATATATCCAACTCGAAAATGATCACACGTATAAAAGTTCCTTTCTCCGTTTCCTCTCCGCCCGCCGCTCTCACGCCCGCGCCTCGCCCGGGTGAGCCACGCCATCAACGCACGCCCATTTGTCACCCATTGTCACCGTACGACCAACGGCATGTGCATATCATCCCTCACGCGCACGTACACACATAGACACGCCACAGACACATATTTATACTAACACACATAAACGTACCACAAACACAGACACATGAACGTACCATAAACACAGACACATGAATGTACCATAAACACACACGCACATATATGAGCACACATACACCCGCGCAAACACACACACATATATAAACACATATACACACCACCAACAAACACACATGTACATATATGAACACACACACCCGCACAAACAGATTCACATATATGAACACACACATCCGCACAAACACACACATATATGAACAGATACACTCCACCTACAAACACACACGCACATATATGAACACACACACACCACCAACACACACACACACATAAATGAACACACACACACCACCAACAAACACACACACATAAATGAACACACACACACCCGCACAAACACACACACATACACACTAACACCACACAACGCCCGAACCTAACACCTGCTGCAACACCTGTTTCTCGAGAAGTCAGTGGGTGTTGAATCTCGACTTCTGACTCTTCATACCACGCTTTCATCACCTCTAACACTTTCTCCTTTTTCTTCTTCTCCTTCTCCTTCCCTCCCCCTCTCATCACCCTGTTCTTACACATCATGTATTCTGTTCATAACATTATTATCTGTTTCTCTGTTTTTTTTTCTTTTCATTTCGTCCTCTCTCTTATTTTTTCTTTTCGTAAAATGTTTGTCCTTATGTTTTTTTCCCTTTCGTCCTCTCTTCTTTCTTAATTTTTCCTTTTCGTAAAATGTTTGTCCTTATGTCTGTTCTCATTCGTTTCTCATGGGGTTAAGGATGAATTTAGTTGTTTCTAAATAACAAACATGCAAATTGTGTGTTCATGCCTTTGGAAAAAAATTAAAATTGGCATCGTAATAATTTAGATACATCTATATCTATCATCTATCTTGTCTATCTATCCATTCTTTCATCAGGTTATCTATCTTTCTATCTCTCTATCTGTCTATTTTCCTATATATACTAATACGGTACTAATAAAAGTATGCCATTCATGATTATTGTATCAATAATATCACGTGACAGGAATGACAAAGGGAATTTTATAACATATATTTAAGAGGGTTTGTTCATTTTAATATTTTTGATGTACAATAACCCTGGGCAAGCGAAAACGACCTTTGGGGCGTGTTGCATTGCACTCATTTGGCTCTCAATCCCATTATTTCCATTCTTTATCTGTTTTCAGTTAATGGCACTCGGTTAGGCACGATTGTCATTAATTCTCTCTCTATATTTCCCTTTCGCTATTCATTCCCCACCTTGCCTTTATCAGTAATCACAATTATGTCTGTATTTATGTTCCTTTATTTTTTGTTGAATAATTTCTGTCATATTCTTCTCATGACTGCAGACGGGTATACAAACGCACAAATTAATACGCACATGATTAAATAAGACATCATACCAGAACACATTCAAAGTCTATTATGAATCAAACACGTAACATTCCACAAATACAAACTCTTCATCATTAGATTAATGATAATAATAATAATAATGATAAAACTCATTCTTGCACAAAACTTCATTCATTCATCATGCGGAAGAGGAGAGAGAGAGAGAGAGAGAGAGAGAGAAAGAGAGGGAGAGAAATGTGATATGGAGGAAGAGGAAAGACGAAGGAGAAGAAGAAGAAGACAAAAATTAAAGATGGTTTTCGAATATTAAGGACAGATGTGTGTATGTGGGTGTGTATGTGCGTGTGTATGTGCGTGTGTGTGTGTGCGTGGAAACCGCTGTACTTTGGCAGCTGTCGTACCTCTGTAAAATGAACGCATGAATATTTTTATTTTGTTATCATTATCATATACCTTATGAGAGATTTATGTAAATTTCTTGATCAAAACTCGTGTACATTTCTTTGGAACAATTTTTTTTAACCAAAGATAATGTTTTATCTGAACTGCTGTAAAACATAAAAAAAAAAAACAAAGAAAAAAGATACACGCAGCTGTTTTTGGACCTTTGCATACAGCTGTGTTTGCTGGATCTCTGTAACACAACCAAATACCAATGAACCTTTGTAAAACTTTTGAACAAATGATTTTTTTTTCTGTATAATGTAAAATAAATTGATGAACTATATATATATATAAAATGTACATTTGAAGAAGAAAAGGTAAATAAATAAGTAAAAAAAAAAAGATGTACACAGTAGTTGGAATGCTGTTAATGAACATTCCAAAAACAGATATAAAAAAATGGAACAAAACCTTTGAAAAAAAAATAAAATAAACATAAAAAAAATAATCTCAATACCAAAGATATGAACAAAATGTGTGTTTAACAACATTGTTTGTAGCGCCCTTCGTAACCCCCTCCCCTCCCCCCCCCTACAAAACCCCCTTACCTCCCCTCCCCCCCTCCCTTCAATTCCTCCCTTTTTCCACGCCCTTTTCCCCTCCCCCCCCCCCCCCCCCCCGTCAATAAAACCCCCTCTTCTGGGCGTTGTATGTTGTGATACTCTTGTATTGGTGTACATAGTTAGTCAGTATGTAAATGTAATATTATATGAAATAATATTAAGATTATAATGAAATTGCGTTGTTTTCCTAACCAACTGCGAATATATTGACCCAACATAATATTCTATGATTTATTTATTTGTTTTTTTTTTCTCTATTTTATTTGTGATATTCAAATTCATTTATTGCTGGAATAAAGATATGTTACTCGCCTGGCCAACAAATAAAGAAAAAAAAAAGAATAATCATAACAAAAACAAAAAAAAAAAGACAAGAAAAAAAACATATAAAAAAGTAAAAAAAAAAACACACCAAACGCTTCCCTCAAAAAAAAAAAAAAAAAAAAAAAAAAAAAAAAAAAAAAAAAAAATAGCCGAAATTATTAAGAAAAATATCCTTACCGATTTTACGACTCCGACGCCCGACGCCCGACGCCCGACGCCCGACTTCGCTCTTTGCGTCGGTTGCTTCCGTCCGTTTCGTAGCGTTGCTGTCGCTTCCGTTGGCAGTGGAGTTCGGGTTGTGGATACGTGTGTGGATGAGTGTCTGTCTGTCAGCCTCTCTCCCTCTACATATGTATATGTGTATATGTATATAATAATATATATATAATATATATTATATATATAATATATATATATATATATATATATATATATATATATATATATATATATATATATATATATCTATATGTATGTATATATATACATACATATATCCATATCTATCTATTATCTATCTATATATGTATGTATATATGAATATATATACATACACACAAATTGTATACATACACTTATTATACATACATACAGTATATGTATGTATGTGTATGTATACATCTTCATATGTATATATATATATATATATATATATATATATATATATATATATATATATATATATATATACTGACATACACAAATTGTATAAATACACTTATTTAAACTACATACATTCATATAAGTNAAGGAGAGAGAGGAGAGGAGAGAGAGAGAGAGAGGGACGAAGAGAGAAGTCGAAAGAGAGAAATAGCGGACGAAAAATCGAAAGGAAAGAGAAAGATGTTCGACGAGAGGAAATAAAAATTCAAACTGCGAACCAGAGAGAAATCATGAGGAGAGAAGAGAGAAAAGGAAAGAGAGAGAGAGAAGAGAGAGAAGAGAGAAGAGAGAGACGAGAGAGAGAGAGAGAAGGAGAGAGAGAGAGAGAGAGAGATGAGAGAGAGAGAGAGAGAGAGAGAGAGGGGCGTGGGGGGGAGATTAGAAATATATATAGAGAGAAGACGAAAGAGAGAAACAGCGAGAATACCGAAGAAAGAGAAAGATTTCGAGAAAGGAAATAAAAATTGACTGCGAACCAGAGAGAAATCGAGAGAGAAAAATAGAGAGAAAAAACAAGAAAGAGAGAAAGAGAAAAAAGGAGTTATGGGAGAACGAAAGGGGGCAGAGGGTGATGGAAGAGGCGTGTAAAGAACAGACGATAACGAGGGTTCGTGCCAGATAAGAGAGATAAAAAGCTTCTACAAATTAAAGTCGGGTTAGCGAGGCGGGGGAGATGAGGGAGGGGGGGGTAGGGACGAGTTCAAGGAGGGAGGGGAGGATGGGGGGAGAAGGGGGTAGGAAGAGAGGAAGAAGAAAAAACAGAAATTATAATAATATTGGTAATAAGAATGATAATGAATGTTGATAAAAAACAATAATGATGATATAATAATATCGATGATGACGATAATGATAATTATCATTATCATTTTTTAACTTATATGATTATAATGATAATAATTGATGAGAGAGAGAGAGAGAGAGAGAGAGAGAGAGAGAGAGAGAGAGAGAGGAGAGAGAGAGAGAGAGAGAGAGAGAGAGAGAGAGAGAGAGAGAGAGAGTGAGAGAGAGAGAGAGAGAGAAATAAAGATAAAAAAAGAAAGAGAAGAGAAAGACAGACAGATAGAGAGAGAGAGAAAGAAAGGAAGAAAAAAGAAAGATAGACAGAGACAGAAATAAATAGAGAAAGAAAGAAGGAAAGCCAGAAAGAAGGAAAATCCCCCTATCCCTCCTCCCCTATACTTCGTGTATCGGCCCCACCGCCGGATGATCCCAAAACCGATAAGAATATTGCTTTTTAACTGCATTGGTATTGGTATTGTGTTGAGACAAGGGCGGACTAGGCTCCTGCGGGTAGTGGGCGGGTGGGGCGCTGGCAGTGGGCCGCGGGTGGGCTGAGAGTGGGCAGAGAATAGGCACAGAGTCAGTACAGAGTGTTTAGAGGCAATGGGGATAGAGTGGAATGCACGTTGGCTTGGTAGATGGGTAGAAGGTGGATAGGAAGTGGTTAGGCAGTGGGTAGAAGGTGGAGAGGGAGTGGCAAGAAAGTGGACAGGGGGTGGATTGAAAGTGGACAAGGAGTGGATAGAAAATGGTCAAGCAGTGGATAGAAAGTGGACAGAGAGTCGATTGAAAGTGGACAGGAATCGGATTAAAAGGAGACAAGCAGTGGATAGGAAATGGATAGGGAGTGGATAGAAGGTGGACAGGGAGTAGGCAG